AGAGAGAGAGAGAGAGAGAGAGAGAGACAGACAGACAGACAGACAGAATCCGAAGCAGGCTCCAGGCTCCAAGCTGTCAGCACAGAGCCCGACATGGTGCTCGAACTCACAAACCGCGAGATCATGACCTGAGCTGAAGTTGGACGCTTAACCGACTGAGCCAGCTAGGCGCCCCAATCTCATTGTAGTTTTAATTTGCATTTCTCTGATGATTAGTGATGGGCCACATGTATGTCTTCTTTGGAACAATGTCTGTTTGTGTCTTCTGCCCATTTTTAATTGGCTTACTTGCTTTTTGGATGTTGAGTTTTTTAAGTTCTTCATATATTTTGGATACTAACCCTTATCAGATATGTTATTTGCAAATATCTTCTCCCATTCCATAGGTTGCCTTTTAGTTTTGTTGATTGTTTCCCTTGCTGTGCAAAAACTTTTTATTTTGTCCCAATAGTTTACTTTTGCTTTTGTTTCCCTTGCCCTAGTGGACCTATCTAGAAAAAAGGTGCCACGGCCAATGTCAGAGAAATTACTGCCTATGCTCGCTTCTAGGAGTTTTATGATTTCAGGTCTCATATTTGGGTCTTTAATCCATTTTGAATTTATTTTTGTGTATGGTGTAACAAAGTGATCCAGTTTCATTCTTTTGCATGTTGCTGTCAAGTTTTCCTAGCACCAGTTGTTGAACAGACTTTTTCCTATTGTATATTCTTTACTGCTTTGTCAAAGGTTAATTGACCATAAATTGTGGGTTTATTTCTGAATTTTCTATTCTGTTCTGTTGACCTATGTGTCTGTTTTTGTGCCAGTACCATACTATCTTGATCATTAAAGCTTTGTAATATAACCTGAATTTCCAAATTGTGATGCCTCCAGCTTTGCTTTTCTTTTTCAAGATTGCTTTGGCTATTTGGGGTCTTTTGTAGCTCCATATGTTCTAGTTCTGTGAAAGATGTTGTTGGTATTTGGATAAGGATTACATTAAATGTGTAGATTGCTTTGGGTAGTACAGACATTTTAATAATATTTGCTCTTCCAATCCATGTCTTTCCATTTCTTTGTGTCATCTTCACTTTCTTACATCAGTGTTTGATAGTTCTCAGAGTATAGATCTTTCACCTCTTTGGTTAGGTTTATTCCTAGGTGTCTTATTATTTTTGTTACAGTTATAAATGGGATTGTTTTCATAATTTGTCTTTCTGCTACTTCATTATTGATGTATAGAAATACAACAGATTTCTGTAGATTGATTTTGTATCCTGTGACTTTGCTGAATTTATTAGTTCTAGCAGTTTTTTGGTGGAATCTTTTGGGTTTTCTATATAGAGTATCACGTCGTCTGCAAATAGTGAAAGTTTTATTTCTTCTTTACTGATTTCGATGCCTTTTATTTCTTTTTGATGTATGATTGCTGTGGGTAGGACTTCCAGTACTATGTTGAATAACAACATTTCATAGAAAAAAATTTGAGGCTCATAGTAGTACTATTCATGATTCATGAAATGCAACAGTATGTCTAAAGGAGTAACAGGTGAGGAGTGAACTTTAGAAATCATGCAAGGAGCCAGAGGACATTTATTATATTTAAATAAACATGTTTTATTTGAACAAAATGCAATTTTATATGCCATACAAAGTTATTCTGGATCAGAGAAGGGGGTTGTCATATATGAATAAAACACAACTATGTGACTTTGGACCCTACCCTCTCCATATCTCTATGTGTTCTTTGAATGTTAGAAAAGAAGTGAATGACGTTCATGATGAGATCACCCAACACCTGAAACCCTTTATTATATCTGTGCTAAAGACCCTGCTTCTGAGAAAATGCATACTGAATGTAAATGAAATTGCATGTAAAAATGAAAAAGGAAGGGGTACTCCAATGACCTAAGTTTCTTCTAAATCTTTTTTGCTACATTCTTAGTTCATTTCTGCATCAAGTCACAGATTATTAACAGCCTCCTAGTTGACTCTATGTCCAATCTTATACCTCATCAATCAATTTTATACATTTTTTTGTAAAAGTGAGCTTTTAAAAACACAATTCTGAACATGTTACTGATCTGCTTAAAAATCTTTGATGGTTTCTCACCACCTATAACAGGGCTCAGCAAACTTTTTTCTGTAAAGGGACAGAGAGTAAATATTTTAGACTTTGCAGGCTGCCCACAGTCTTTGTTGAATAGGCTTCTTAGCTGTTGTTGTTGTTTTTCTTATATCACTTAACAATTTAAAAACCAATCTTAGCTCATGGGCTATGCAAACCGAGAGCTGGATTTGGCCATTTGGGCCATAATTTGTTGACCTGTAGAGTAAATAAAGTGCTAGCTCCTTAATATAGCATAGCAGTCTCTCCATAATCTGGCCTACTGCTTTCTTCGCGGGTTTTATATATTGCCAAAACACTTCCCACACCTTCTGCTGTGGGAATTAAATTGTTGGCAGTATCTGGAAGTACACCAAGCTGGGTTTTGTACCTCAGTACTTGTTCATGTTGCGTCCGTAATTGTCCTCCCTTATCCAACTGGCAAGCTACATCTCTCTCAAGACTCTACTAAAGGTGTCATCTCCTCTATTAAATATTTCCTGATTGTCTATTTAGAACTCGACTTTGTAACCTGTACAAATATGGATCACAGTATCGACAGCACTTCACTGTACTTATTTACTCCCCAACTCCATTATGAATCTCTCAAAGGCAGCAAATAACTTACCTGGATTTGTAGCCCTAACATACAGTAGCCATTTAGTAAATGTTTGTAAAATGAATAGCCCCAGGCATTGTGTTAGCAAGCCATCCAATACCAGTGATAACATAAAGAGAAATGAAGGGAGGACTAGTAGCCCTCTGAATTGTGCATGACCCATACATAGAAGAAAGTTATTACTTTTGTAGTCTCTAGAGAAGCTCCCTCAGCCCCACTCTTACATCTTGTAGATATTTCCCCATACACTCATCAGGGCATGAGGGTGGTTGCACTAATCCTCATGGAAGACTTTTTTTTTTTTTTTGAAGTAGTAATACCATCTAACAGTGCCTGTGTTTTTAGAATCCAAATGTGGACTCAAAACCTATCTTCCAATAAACACACTTTAAAAATGTTCCCAGGGCTTTTAGTATTATTAGTGATAGAATGGTGACCTAAATAGGTGTTGGTGAGCTGCCTTTGGAATGTAGCTACTCTGTCTCTGTGGGGAAAACGTGCTCTGAGTTCCAAGCGGATGACTTATGAGTTAACTTTTGAACATAACTCATTCCTAAGTTTGGGGCTGTCTCTACTTAAAATATATCAAGCATAGGTCAGAGGAACTGGAATAGGAGTTAAACAGATTAAAAGTAAAGCCATAAAAGCAAGAGCCAAAGAGAAATATGATATAACTGTGTTTCTAAAACTAGCAAATGGGGTTCTGAGGCTTCTCGTCGTACACTCTGGAGTGGAGAATGTATAAAGGAGATTGACTTGGGAAAATAAACAGTAGGAGTGTTTGGAAACTTTCAGAAAATCACAATAATATCTTAGCAACCTATAAAAAATTTGCTATTCAAAAAATAGCAACTTATTGAATGCTTACTATATGCCAGGAACCATTCTAAAATTTTTGTATAGGTTATCAATTATACACACACACACACACACACACACACACACACACACACACCCCACAATGATCAACCTTCAGAAAGTAAAGAGAAAGGCTAAGGGTAGAAGATAATGTGACCAGATAACCATCTACCTAAGAAAAGAGTGTGGGAAGAACGAAAATTTTAGAAACAAGACATAACCACCTCCTCAATGTGCTATGACAGAAAAATTCCAGAGTCAAAGTTAAGATGAGAAAAAGAATAAACAAATTACCATAATACAAAGTGAACAATACATGTTAATTGCCAATAATAGAAAGTGCATATGGCATCTTATTAAATGGGGAAGAAAGAAAAATAATCACAATCTTGGACTTGAAGATGCTTGGGTAGAACAGAAATGCTAAAGCTCATGAATGTGTATGAGAAGTGGGAGTAGAAATGACCAGAGGGTCGCTAAGGCACATCATGGAAGAGAAGGCAGAGAAATAGGAGAAGGCAAAAGAATAACAATTTCAGTTTAGATGTTTTTGTAAGAAATTAATATGATAGAAATTTAATATTTGTAGAAGCAATGTTCATTGAGAAAAGATTTATTAATATGTATAACATGCAAACTATTTTTTTTTGTTTAAAATAATTTTTTATTGCCCAGGATATTTTTTTTTGTGTCTTGTTTTTTTTTGGTTGTTTGTTTTCTTTTTTAATAACTATAAATTCAAGCTTAGGGA